AAAAAAATGTTTCCTTTGATACCTACCCTTAAATGAAGATTCACAAAACTTTTATGATGGATATTTATGAACAACTAGCCCCATTTTTAATTTTGACTATCATCCAATCTGTAACTGGATGCAAGAGGCTGGCACATGGGGTTTAATATTGATATAAAGCTTCTAAAATCGAACATCTTCCATACTTGGTAACCATAGTAACAGTGTTTTTTTTCATCCAAATTTCATCAATATATGATATTCAACTTAAGGACATACGCAAGGTACCTTACCTACTGATAACTTTTCAAGATATTCTAAACTTAAACTTATATTATTATTATATGTCCTCAGACAAAAATTCAGCATGTGTTACCAGGAGTTTTGAAAAGATATCAAATTAGGAAAAATTTTGCATTGTTCAGAAGAAAAATGTACAAAAATTGCAAAGAATAAATTCCAGATTTTTTTCATCAAAATTTGTTATAGAAGAGGTGTACATATCCATATAACATTAAAAGTATTGCACACGGGTCCTTTATTTAGTGAAACTCTTCAACTCCAAGGAAGAACCCAATAAAGTTGAAACTACGTTGCGTATGACCTTAAGTTCTACCAGATACATGTAAGTAGTATTCAATATGCGTCATATAATATGATTCTTGATTAAATGGCATGTTAATTCCTAAAGCAGGAAAAAATGTCCCTTTTACCTACTAATACCGGTATCCTATCATCATTTTATCTAAAATAGATGATCCAACAACATCGCAGTCACCAACATCAGAATCAGCCACAACAACAGTAACCACAAATGTTATCCCTAGTTCCACGGTGGCGTCAGTGGAAGATCAAACACAAACCGGTACGGGGGGAGAAAAAACAATAAGTACTGTTATAACGAGAGGATGTAAATTAATATCTTATTTTTTTTAATATTTTGATATTTATGATCATTTTTTTTTTTTGTCGTGTTTTTGTTTTGTTTTGCTTTTTTTTTTTTTTTTTTTTTTTTTTTTTTTTTTTTGTTTCATATTAACAACTTAGCAGTTTTAAATTTGCTATCATGTTCTTCTAGTGTGTAAATAAATTTCAAAATCTATTGATGTAAATAAATAAGTAAGTAAGTAATTTATTTATCTTTACCGAGATGTATCTATAAATATATATATATATATATATATATATATATATATATATATATATATATATATATATATATATATATATATATATATATATATATATATATATATATATATTAGGGATGTCAACGAGTACCCGGTCAACCGGGTACTCGATCGAACGTCTGAGTATCGAATACTAAAATTGGTACTCGGTTACTCGGATGTATATTTTTGAATATTTCTAAGCTAATTCATTAATGCATTAAAACATCGGTTTTAAACAGAAAATGTTCATTGCACTTGTACATACGGTAATTAGGGTTTCCCACACCTCTAAATGACCGTTATCGGCTGTGGCAGTGTTTATAAAGTAATAATTATCGTGACCAAGCACCTGCTACCTGGCTTTTCTCACCTTCGGTAGTCTTCTTCCCTTATTTTTGCTTTGCTTTAATGATTTGTTTTCACTGAACATCATTTAAGGTCAATTATAATTAAATAAATTAGATAAATTTGTCATTTCTAAAGGAAGCCGTAAACTCTCGGGAAAAGAGACAGATGATAATACACGTGCGATCGTTGAAATGGTTGCGTTTGATTACATGCCAATGCAAATGGTTGAAGGCAAAGGCTTAAAAAAAACTGATGTCCATCGTTACACCAAACTACAACATACCGTCCTGTAATACTATAATGTCTAGGATTGAAAAAGTGTAAGAAGATCGTAAATCCGCTGTCTGAACTTGATCAAGTTTGATATACTGTAGCTCTGACGATTGAAACTTGGACGTCAAACGCAACTAAGAGTTACATTACAATTACGATGCAGATTATTTTTCTAAACAAAAACACTGTGAACCATTTGTGGTTTGATTTTGTTTGTTTATCTGATGAATAAATTGAACTTTTAAAAAATGTTACATTTAAAAATTTCGTCGGGCAAGAAGTGTTGATAATTGTTACAACAGAAACACATTTACGGGAAACCTCCCATCAGAGCAAGAAGTTTAATTTCTACCATAGTTTACAATATGTTTCACAGTTATCAATTTACTTTTTCATATTTACACTTTTACCGAGTACCCGAGTACTCGATCGGAAAAACGTCCGAGTAACCGAGTATTAAAAATTGACCGATTTGACATCCCTAATATATATATATATATATATATATATATATATATATATATATATATATATATATATATATATATATATATATATATATATATATATATATATATAATAATCAAAAGCTGTATAAAATTTGAGATTAATCTAAAATAGATGATCCCACAACATCGCAATTCTCAACATCAGAATCAGCCACAACATCAACAACAGTAACAACGAATGTTATCCCTAGTTCCACCCTAATGTTATCCCTAATATATATATATATATATATATATATATATATATATATATATATATATATATATATATATATATATATATATATATATATATATATATATATATATATAATCAAAAGCTGTATAAAATTTGAGATTAATCTAAAATAGATGATCCCACAACATCGCAATTCTCAACATCAGAATCAGCCACAACATCAACAACAGTAACAACGAATGTTATCCCTAGTTCCACGGTGACGTCAGTGGAAGATCAAACTCAAACCGGTACGGCAAGAGAAAAGAACAATAAGTACTGTTATAACGAAATAATGTGTATTAAGTATCTTATTTGTTTAAATATTTTCATATTTATGATGATTTTGTTTCATGATTTTTTTTTCATAATAACAATTTAGCAATTTTAAATTTGATATAAAATTCCTCTATAGTTTACATATAAATTTTATAATCTATTGGCTGTGAGTAAATAAGTAAGCAATTCATTTCTTTATATAAAGTGAAATGTGAAACTAATATATTTATATTCACAAACTGTATTAAGTTTGAGATTAATCTAAAATAGATGATCCAACAACATCGCAATCCTCAACATCAGAATCAGCCACAACATCAACAACAGTAACAACGAATGTTATCCCTAGTTCCACGGTGACGTCAGTGGAAGATCAAACACCAACCGGCACGGGAGGAGAAAAAACAATAAGTACTGTTATAAGGAGAGGATGTAAATTGATAACATATTTTTTTATATTTTGATATTTATGATGATTTTTTTTTCGTGTTTTTTTTTTGGTTTCATATTAACAACTTAGCAGTTTTAAATTTGCTATCATATTCTTCTAGTGTGTAAGTAAATTTTACAATCTATTGATGTATATAAGTAAGTAAGTAAGTAATTTATTTATCTTTAGTGACATGTATATATATATATATATATATATATATATATATATATATATATATATATATATATATATATATATATATATATATATATATATATATACATATACATATATATATATATATATATATATATATATATATATATATATATATATATATATATATATATATAAAAACTTTAAAACACTTTTCGAAATATTTCAACCGTGTTACCGGCCTTCATCAGTCGTGTTTATTTAAATGCATAACAACTCAACAGTATTATGACGTCACAATGAACATAGAAATTGAGAGGCAACGTCATGCAATAAAATTGCGCCAAAAACATCTGAAGATATTGTGAGAGCAAAAATTGTACTTGTGTATCAAAATTTTTATCATACAGAATAAAATACTAGAATACGGGGTATATTAAAAATATGATTTTAAAGTATATATAAAAGTATATCTGTAAAAATAAGTATCACAATGTCACACAAATGTTCATAAATCCAATTCAAAGACAGAAGTGTTCTCTTTTGTTAATACCAAATGGTCTATAAGTGTTCAACTTTTTCTTCCAGATCTTTGGAAGAAAAAGTTGAACACTTATATATATATATATTAGGGATGTCAAAATATTTATTTTCCTTAGTCGAACATTCGATTGTATTATTCAAACGATAGTCGACTATTCGGAACATTTTTTTGAGAAGAAAAATCTCATCGATAGCGTTTTTATAAATCAAAAACCCTTTTTTGTAAATTTATGCAAAACGTAACATTAAATGCCTTTACTGTGTGTTACACACCGATATTCTGATGAACCTTTAGCTTGCATAAGATGTAGAAATGAAATAGATTTACACCAGCAAGTGATTCTCCAAAATGTATGAATTTTCGTAAATCACATTCAGGGTTAGGGTTAGGGTTAGGGTTCTATCCTTCTAGTACGCTTAGAGAATTGTCAGCACAGTGTTTTTAAAAGCTTATTTTAAAATAAATTGGAAAAGAGGAGGAGATTATTGTTTTAATAATTATTGAAGTTTCAAAACTTCACGGCTATACTGTGATCCTATAGCATGATTTAAACATTCTTAGAGGTAATAAATAAATTTATAATTGGTACAAGTCCAATTAATAATATTCAAAGTCCAGTAAAGCTATAATAACAAAAAAAGGTCAGTAATTGAGAAATAATTATCGCGATATGTAATTACTGTACTTTCCATATGTACAATGTGGAAACTTATTTATATACCGTGACTGTTTTTAAGCTCTTATTCGTCTGAGGACGGATACTATAGTCATTTGAGAAAGACGCTTTACAATTTTGAGTTGAGAATTCTTTAACACCTCCTTTTTTGCATTTATTAGATATTCGAATGTCGTTTCATTTATTCGATCGTCGGTCCATTCGATTGATAGTCTAATAGTCGACTATTCGTTGACATCCCTAATATATATATATATATATATATATATATATATATATATATATATATATATATATATATATATATATATATATATATATATATATATATATATATATATATATATATATACTGTATAAAATTTGAGATTAATCTAAAATAGATGATCCAACAACATCGCAATCCTCAACATCAGAATCAGCCACAACATCAACAACAGTAACTACAAATGCTATCCCTAGTTCCACGGTGACGTCAGTGGAAGATCAAACACAAACCGGTAAGGGAGGAGAAAAGAACAATAAGTACTGTTATAACGAAAAATGTGTATTAAGTATCTTATCGCAATTTGGGAATGCTTAAAATCTGTGAATAATTACATGTATATAAATGAATTTTCTTTGATGATACTAGTTATCATAATAACACAATGATTTACAACAATAATGCAAGAACTTTATTTCACCAATATATCTGTTAAGTCCTGCCATGTTTAATGATTCGGCTCACTGTAGTTGTCAATTCTGCCAACCAGTGTTACTGGTTTTTGGAAGGTTCATTTGGTCAAGATATAGGTAAAGACAGTATAAGACATAAAATTAGCAAAAACTGTATTTTCTGTAAGATTTTTTAATGTTAAAATGGCCATATTTAAAGAAAATATATATATATATATTTTTCTTCGCCGATATACAACTACAAAACTTAAAAATTACATGTCAAATACTGAAACCATAGTGATTTATTTCGTTCAGTAACAGATTTTGTTTACATTGTAGCTTGATATCATTTTTTCTTCGACGATATACAACTACAAAACAGTTAAAAATTACAAGTCAAATACTGAAATCATGATGATTTTTTTCCTTCAGTGCCAGTTTTTATTTACATTGTAGCTATGTGCCCCTGTTCCTGTGACTACATGGACAAAATCGTGTACTGGAGAAATGAGACAAACCAGCTGAGACAATACTATGAACTGAGTGAAAGGTTGGCTCAACTCAAGCGCCTCCTCAGCGTCAACACAAAGAATCTCTCCTCCACAATAAACAAGAAGATCAGCGCTGAAGACGAGCGGCCGTCAGCCTCCGTGACAGGTTACGTGGGAGTCGTCTTTATAGCCTTATTTCTTGCTGGAATGGCCCTGGCTGATGCTCCTGTATTGATTCGGCAGACTTCTAAACTCCTCAAAGACATCAGAAAACTGTGTGCTCGAAAATGAGTTACACTGCTCTGTCCTTTTTATCTAATTACCATAGACCTAAAACGTTTAAGTCTATGCTAATTACAAAAAGATGTTAATGAGAAACAAGACTTTCTGATAAACGTGATGACTTCGACTTTCCTATCGTCAAATTCCCTTCCTTTTGTAGTCTCTAAGCATCTAAATTTTTCATTATTATTTATCCTGAATCTTTAACGAGTAGGAAAGAAAACAAGCTGCATATGACCTTCAACTCAACATTTAGATTTATTGAACGACTTATCAATAAACAAAAGTTGTTTTCAATCATATGCCGGCACGATATATTCCAGTAAACTTGAAATAAAGACATTAATTGTTTTCTAACAACCCAGCTTTATGAACAATCTCGTTTAAATTGTCATTTCCCAAGTTCCAGTGTCGATACAATGCCACTGTCTGCAAATAAGTCAAATGCTGACAGACATATTTCATACTAATTTTTAGACTATTATACACACACCCTATTGTCAACGGGTTTTTCCACTATGTCTCAATTTTGACAAAGAGCACACGGCGGGTGTGACCGGTTTGCAGGGGATGCTCACTCTTTTATGACACCTAAAATCCAAACTCTGATGTTTTAGAGTTCCGTTATTGCTCTGCTTCTGAATTATATTGTCTGAATAATTTTTAGCTTGTATACTGTTCATTATATACATATTTCTTTTACATGAAAAAAGCTTTCAATACTTCAAACTTATCGCTCCCCAGACATTGCACAAAAAGTTTTCGTAAGTGGGTGTTTCGTAGAAAGTCTATCCGCTGATATGATGCTAAAGGATATACTATGAACATTTCGTCTAAAACACTTCTGATACATAAGTCGAAGTAACAGTTGTTTCAACACTCCAATTTGAATTAAACTGTTTTCCAATGTTTATGAACCGATCATGGTACTTAATTAACTGGTAGAGCTTTCGCTTTTTGATCGGAAAGCCTGGGTTTGATTCTGTTTCGCCGCTTTGCGTCCACACTCAGACGTAAATGTATGTAGCAAGTATTGAAATTGTGTTGTTTTAATTGTTTAGAAATTAAAGGTTTATTGAAGAATAGAAAAAAGTCTATACACTTTCATTGTGAATATAGCTCTTTAAATGCATTTGTATTATAGATCTAGAGTATTACACATTCAGTTTCTCTGCAGAAGAAAATAATAAAATTGAAGATTTGATAGAACGGAACTGTTTGAATTTCGGATGCATGGAATCTCGAGCTCCTAATGATTTTTTATACATTCAGGAAAAAATGTCCGTGTGAACCACTTTTAAATAGTGAAATGACAAAGGAAGCAAAATATAGACATTTTCTGTTAGTCTTCTTTGTGTTGCATTAGCTATGTACAGTGCGTGTAGCGCATGTTTCATTAATGTGTTTCGGTAGTGTTGTCTCTGTAGTGACTTCTTATAAGAAGGAGTTATCATGATAATCGTATTCTTCCAGATTAATTGTACTTGTATAATGTCGCTTATGTTCAAATAAAGTAAGCTTCTTTAAACCACAGTTTTGTTTTTCTTATACTTCCTATAAGGTAAATAGCATATTGCAAGTATGGCAAACAGAAGTATGCTAAACTTAAAAAAAAATACAGTTTATATTAAAATCTCCTAAAAATTGTCCATTTAATCACGTTTATAAGTTTATAAGTGGTATACTAGAAATAACCACGCACTCCTGTTCAAAGCAGCTACATGTATCAGTCGGTAATAATAATAATGGTAAAAAAAAAAAAAAAAAAAAAAAAAAAACATTATTAGAAACTAGGTCGTATGGTGTTTATGTTTGATCCAATTCTACAGTTTGGTCACTCGATTTTCTGAAATTTTAATCCAATAATAAGAATATTGTTGGAACAATGCATGTGTCATTGTGTGGGGTAAAAGACTATAAATAAGATAACATTTAAAAAAAAAAACATTTTGAATTTCATACAAAATTTTACGTTTTGATAAATAAAAAGTTAGACATTATCATACAATCCATAAAATCATTAAAGTTAATAGCAATAAGGTACAGAAAAAATATGATACTTATAGGCTTCCATAGAAAAAAAATGCAGGATGACAAATATATCAAGTAAATAATGGGTAAATAAAGACAAATTTCGTCGAAGAACTTTATTTAAGGACACGTACAATGTAGCTTGAACTTTATTATCTTTTTCTCTGGAGTTGAAGACTTCCAATACTTTTAGTGGTACATTTAATATTGCCTATACATTGTGTTGTACACTTCCTGAGTTCCTCTACAACAAGTTTGGATGAACAAAACATCTAGAATATATGTTGAGTATTTTATGTACATTTTACTTGGAATTTTACCAGAATTTTCATTAATTAATATCTTTTCAAAACCTCTGGTAATGCGTGCTGATTTTTTGTCCATGAACATCTGATGGCACTAAAACCTTTAATCAAAAATACCTTGAAAAATTATCAGTGGGTAAGGTATGTTGCGTATGTTCTTAAAACTTAGAGATGATCAATATAATAACTTTAAAAAATATTTCATAATAGAAAAATTGGCAGTTTAAGGACAGATGATACAAACAAAAGAATGGATGCCGGGATTGTTCAAAATTCCACCTTCTTGCAGCCATCCTAATTAATCTATACAAATATTTTTTTCACTTCAAATTTCCATTGAAAGTTTAAAAATTAAAAACTACGCGGTTAAAAACTTGTAAATTTTTCTCACTGAAATATGACTTGGGTTGTTATTTTCAATTTTTAGGACAAAAGTTTGTTTGCGTCATCTTTCCTTAAAACATGTCTATATTTACAGCCGTAACAGATGTAGAGAGCTTTAAATATGACACATAAGTTTCTGAAAATGATTATTAATTTCTTGAAATCAGCATCTTAATTCGAAGACTTAGTTTCAAATTGATACTTTCTGATATGTTAATGTTTCGCAAAATACAGAAAAAGGGGTCCAACCGTGTAAGTATGTATCACAAATTTTAACACATACATCGATGGAAAAAGAATTGAAAGATAATTTGTTCAAATAAAGAGAATACCTGATTGTTCATAAATTACAAAAGAATAAGCTGTAACGTTAAGCAATTCTTGATAGGTCCTCCCAGCTCTTTCCAAGGTTTTTGAAAATGCAATTAACACTCAAATATCGAACTATTTTGAGAAAATTTTTAACCCTTATTTAGCGGCATTTAGATCAGGGTATGGTTGCCAATCGACCTTATTAAGAATCACTGAGGATTGGAAGAGAGCTCTTGATGAAAATAAATATGTTGCTGCTATTTTAATGGACTTATCCAAGGCATTTGACTGCCTCCCTCATGATCTTGTTCTGCTCAAACTAAAATCTTATGGTCTCTCTCCACCTGCGGTAGATCTGATAAAGAACTATTTATCTTGCAGAAAACAGTGTGTCAAAATTAGTCAAAATATAAGCACCTTGTTGGATATCTTTAAAGGTGTACCCCAAGGATCAATTCTTGGGCCAGTCATTTTTAATATTTTCATTAACGATATTTTTTACTTTGTAAAAAATTCAGATTTGTACAATTATGCTGATGATAATACCTTATCCAAATCTGATCCTATCTTACAAAATGTTATTACTACTCTTGAAAAGGAAAGTGGCACTCTCATCGATTGGTTTTCAGCTAATAAAATGCAGGCAAACCCAGAAAAATTTCAAGTAATAGCACTGGGGAAAAAGACGCATGATAAAAACATTACTTTAAACTTGAAAGGTACAACCCTTGCCTGTGAGGATGAAGTGAAACTGCTTGGTGTTACTTTTGATTTTAACTTAAACTTCAATTCTCATATATCAAATATTTGCAAAAAAGCAGCTCGACAATTAAATGTGTTAAAACGTGTCGGGAAACATCTCTGTAAACTGGGTAAACTTACCATCTATCACTCCTTTATAATGTCCAACTTTAGTTATTGTCCTCTGGTATGGCATTTTAGCAGTGAACAAAATTGCCAAAAAATAGAAAAAATTCAAGAGCGAGCACTCAGATTCATATATAATGACTACACAAGCAGTTTTGACCAGCTCCTAGAAAAATCAAACCTCCCCTCACTGAAAATCAGGCGTATGAGAGCCATGGCCCTTGAAGTTTTCAAAATTATAAACAATCAATGCCCACTGTTCCTGCAAGATTTAGTTCAACAGAGAAATTCAACATACAATTTTAGATATCAAAAGACCCTGGAATTACCTAGGCCAAGAACCACTAGGTATGGAAAACAGTCATTCAGCTATGCAGCTGCTACGCTGTGGAATTCTCTACCAAATCATGCTAGGGAACTTTCCACCCTCAGCCAATTTAAAACTTTCATAGAGACATGGACGGGGGAAAAATGCAAATGCAGTTCCTGCAGAAACCACAGCGTAGGGCTGCATAGCTGATGAGACAATGTTTAGAAACAGTTGAATTTTCTTTTATTTTTGAAATCTTTCATTTTCTCTAATGATATCACCTATCTCATTTTATTTCATTGTTTTTTTTTTTCCTTTAACCTCACAATATGCATATCTTGCCTATGTAGGTAGGGACTGACCCAATCACTAGGCAGGATGTGTATTGATGAGGAACATAAATTACTTTAAAATTTTTTTTTTTTTTTTTTTTTTTTTTTTACTTTTTCCTTCGTTCTCAATTTGGTTTAGCTATGTATGTGTGAATTTTAAATTTCCTAAACTTTCAAATTTATTCAATTATCGGTTTTTTTTTTTATTTATTTTTAATATTATTTTTAATATTATTAATAATACAATTAGTTATTTTTATCTTAATTGATGAATTAAACTTAGTGCTTAATTTTATTACATGTACTATCTAATGACTTTTATTTATTTATTTATAATACTCACGTTATATTTATTTTTGTTTCTCTTAATGTAATCATATTGTTTTTCTTTAACTTATTCTAAAGAAACTATAAATTCTTAAAATTTGTTAATTTCTTAAAATTCATTTTATCTGTCATAATTTTTGTATGTGTATATATGTACATGTGTTTTTGCATGATAATTTATGTGTAAACGTCTTTCTGTGATATTTTAACTGTGATAGTCGGTTTAAGAGCTCTACAGAGCTCATGTTTATTGTTATGTATGTATACAATGCCGACTTTAAATAAAATTTACTTACTTACTTACTTACTAAAATTATTTTTTTCAAGGTGCAACCGCCTCAAAGGTATTAAGAATTTGGCGATTCGGAAAAATATCGAATATGCTAAACAAAGATGCTAAAAACTTTTATCAGTACTTTTAGTATTTTGATTCCAGTACTAATTGACGAACGCTCTAACTAAAACTTTTCACACCGGAAGTTCAAGTAGCGAACGAAAGGTGTTTTATCTGTCAACATGTAAAATGTCATCTTCTCCAGTAGGAAAGAAAAGAGTTTTTTGTTCATCAAGATATGAACATAAACTCAAGAAAATGAGACACGCTTCTAAAAGCTCTTGCACGACTTGTTCTAAAATTGATAAACCAAAAAATCACGAAACATATGTATCTAGTTGGACAATGGAAAATGCCGAGGCTCTTGGGTTGTTTTACGATAAAAACATATGTGATATTTCTTATTTCTATGAAATTTTTAGTGCATACAAAGGAAGAAATAGGTATGGATTTATTTACCCATTGGAGGGTGCATCAAAGACATTGATAGATTCTTTAGTGGACCAGATCAATGGAATGATAAATAAACATGGCGTAGAGATGGCAACAGGCTGGGACTGGACAGTCGCTGCAGATTGGCCTTTTGTGTGGAGGAAATGCTGTGATGCCATAAAGATTCTGAGTGAGACATGCAGGCCCACGGTTTCTGATGGGTGGGTTGTACATGTAACTATGATAAACTTTAGGGATAATATTCAATGATCTTTCTTGTACAATTTAATTTGATGAAGGATTTTTATTTGACAAAAAGGACAATTATGTGCCACAGTGGCTTGATTGCTTTTGGTTTAATCTTTCGAATAACATGATTAATGCAGTTGCATTTTCTTTCTTGTGTAGGAAATTAGGCTGGACTGAGGACATCGGCCTGGATGGCTCAGTGGTTAGAGCACCTGACTAGAAATACAGGGGTCCCGGGTTCGATTCCCGGTCCAGCCATATGTTTTCAATATATATGTATTTATGAATTTTCAATGTATGTTTACTCATTCCTCCTTTCCATACTACAGATTTGGTGCCGTGGCCTACCTTGTTCAGGCAATGTATAATTACTAATGTTAAGTCCTGACAAGGTGAACTTGAGTTGTGTCTTCGGGGTCGAAGACTATTTAAGTGTAGGAAATTAGGCTGGACTGAGGACATCGGCCTGGATAGCTCAGTGGTTAGAGCACCTGACTAGAAATACAGGGGTCCCGGGTTCGATTCCCGGTCCAGCCATATGTTTTCAATATATATGTATTTATGAATTTTCAATGTATGTTTACTCATTCCTCCTTTCCGTACTACAGATGGTGCCGTGGCCTACCTTGTTCAGGCATTGTATAATTACTAATGTTAAGTCCTGACAAGGTGAACTTGAGTTGTGTCTTCGGGGTCGAAGACTATTTAAGGAAGGGGGAATGTAGGAAATTAGGCTGGACTGAGGACATCGGCCTGGATAGCTCAGTGGTTAGAGCACTTGACTAGAAATACAGGGGTCCCGGGTTCGATTCCCGGTCCAGCCATATGTTTTCAATATGTATGTATTTATGAATTTTCAATGTATGTTTACTCATTCCTCCTTTCAATACTACAGATGGTGCCATGGCCTACCTTGTTCAGGCATTGTATAATTACTAATGTTAAGTCCTGACAAGGTGAACTTGAGTTGTGTCTTCGGGGTCGAAGACTATTTAAGGAAGGGGGAATGTAGGAAATTAGGCTGGACTGAGGACATCGGCCTGGATAGCTCAGTGGTTAGAGCACCTGACTAGAAATACAGGGGTCCCGGGTTCGATTCCCGGTCCAGCCATATGTTTTCAATATATATGTATTTATGAATTTTCAGTATGTTTACTCATTCCTCCTTTCCATACTACACTTGCATTTGCCATGTTTACATATCTGGTTTATTGAGAATAAAGAAAAAAATACTCTCTATTACAATGACCTCTTCACAAGAACAGAACTTTGCATGAGTTTCTTTGATATTTAATTGAACATGTTGAAGTGCGAGTTAACATATACAACAGATATGATTAGGTGAAAAGAATCATCTTCAATCTATTTTAAGAATAAGTTAGATTTTTTTCATCAATTCAATTTAATTATTGCCTTTATTTTTATTATGATATTCAATGTAATTTCTTGTTTTTCAGAGAACACATCAGGAGTTACGCTGGATTAATCAGTTTCTACAGGACACTAAAGGAGCATGTGCAGGAAGAGATGTGGAGAAGTAACAGTTACACACCTTCAGAGATTCCAAAAGAAGCCTACTCAGAGTTGTTTTCAAAATTCCTTGAAATATTTTTGTTGTTACCAAGGTATGACTAGCGAATGTGTTTTTTAAAGATATATGCTTAAGGCACTACAAAATTTTACACATCTCACAGTATCTTTGAACATGCATAGGACTATCACAAGTAAAACCATTCTCTTATGTTTTCATTTTGAGATAAACTTTTTTCTTTTAAATACATGTCATCATTGGTCATATTCCTTTGTAAATTTTTAACTTGAAAAGTTAAAAATGTATAAGTCGGCTACTTGTAGTTCACAGTAGTTGTTACAAAATGAGGGGGATTTTGAACATGCTTAACACAGAAGAAAATGTGAGAACATTTATAACAACTAAAAAATACTTAATTTTAGTATCGGTGTGTGATGAGAGACATTATTATTTATATACATGTATACAAACAAAACATCTGTCTGTTTTTAATGTTTTCAGGAGAGGAGGATTTCGGAAATCAGTCATGATGATCAAAGACTCTACATTGACCAGCACACCAGATCTACACCTGACACTCCCCACATACTCTGCTCCCTCACTCTTTGTTATAAATGTTGTAAAGGTAAGTTTAACATAAAAGGTATGAACATGATGAAAGTCCTACTCCTACTCATTCAGAAATTAAATGGGTTTTTAATGAATTTTTTTTATCTCACCTCTACTTAAAAGTTTGTTAGCTATTCTCATCATAAACTTTTTACAATATTATCTTCATCTCCAGAACCACTGGACCAGTTTCCACAAAACTTTGCACAGAATATCCCTGGGTAAAGGGCATGTAGATTTGTTCAAATAAAAGGTCACATCTAAGTAATTAATGAAAATGGGCTTGGGTGATTTAAAAAATATTCTTCATCACTGGGCCAGAAAAGAGAAAATTAAAACGTGAAAGCTTTCTGATCATGATTCCCTCGGACAGGGCTAGAATTTTAAATAAAAATTTTACAGTGTTCTACAATATGTGTTCAAACTCTAACCTAAAAATTTGTACTAAGAAAAATCTTAAATATTCTTCTTTATTATAACTCTTAAGTCATTATTAATCATATTTATATGGGGTATTTATATGGAAGCATCCTCAGGTTGTGTAGATTCAAGATTGTTTAAAGTATGTCAAATAGAATTAACAGATTTCAGCCATTTCTGTTACTTAAGTTTAGCTTTCAGGCAGCAGAAATTGATGTTAATAGCTAATATGACTTAATATGATATTCAACTTAAAAAGTCAATCAAGATAAATGTCTTTATTGTTTATACCTGGTAGATATTTTTACAGTCACAAAAAAGTAATATGATCATTTCTTAACCTTTGTTTCAGGCCAAGATATGCTCCCTTTCTGATTGTGAAATGTTTGATATTCACCAGGCAGTAGACAATGTCATTCTTGGTCAGCATGCTGGAGAACTGCTGCTGGAATTTCAGCACTCCTGTTTCCGAGATTTACAGGCTGTCTTTGGGATTCTCTGCATCAAAACTTCAGTATGTTATTCTAAGAAATCTTGTTCACATATGGAAATGAAACAACATCCTGGTATTTGCAATAATTTAACATAAAATTGCATTTGCTCAAAGCCAGAAGTTAAGACATATCATGACATTTGATGTTTTTGATCAGATTTTATTGATATCGATATATGGACTTTTGCAAGAAACACTGACTTTTACAATCAACAGCTTTCTTTTACACCAGGAAAATATATGGAAGCTCTTTTGGGATATAAATATTTAACAGTTACTAAAACGATGACAAAGGGTCATTTCAAAGTCTAGGAAGGGAGCAGCAACACTTCTACCCTCAACACCCTCCCTTCACAACTTGACCAACTCCTACCAAGTTTTCTTCTGTACTAATTCCTCCTCTTTACTTAATTCCTATAGAAAATGAAAATAAAAAGAGATACCATCTCTTATGAAAAAGGTATTTTACCTACAATTATATCTTCTGTTCATAAATAGAGTTAGTGTCCCTAATAATATAACTATACCACTATTAATGTTTTCTTACCTTTTATCAATTCTGTACTTTCATACATTACACAGGTTGAAATTTCAAAGTAAGTTGTTACTGTAAAAGTCAATGCTTCTCACAAAAGTCCAGTGGAAAGACAACATCAAACCATTTGTTTTTCTGACGATCTAACCAAATGTCAAAAAAAGTGTTGTACAGTTGAACTTCGGTATCTTGAACTTTAATATCTCTAATACCATGGATGTGTGGAAATGATGAGGAAGTCCTAACCTCATAATCCTAAAGTATTTTAACCTCAATATCTCAAATCGTTGAATATCTCTCAGTTTTTTTCTCCCCCATCAGGTTTGATATAACAAAGTTTGACCGTATTTGGTTAGCATTGTTTGTGTACATTTTTTAGATTGATAGAAAATTTTCATTATTGTCACCTTTTTATTTTATGATACTTTGAAGGTCATTTTCACCTGTCTGAAGATCTCTACAGAGCATTACAAATACATAAAGGACTATGGAGAAGATGTGGTGCTGAAGGAAATGGATGTTGATAGCAGCTCTGATTTAGTGGAAAACTCTAGTTTAGAGGAAGAGAATGAATATGCTGTCAAGTTTTGTAATACCAAAGATGCGAAATTGTCAAGGTTCGAAAAAACAACTGACAAAAAACATTCAAATAAGAGTGGAAGAATTTTTTATACAAAACCATTTAATTATCTTGTTTCTTCAGATAGAAGAGAGATAATGGAATTCTTATTCTGGATTGGAATTAATTGTGAGAGAGTTGCTGTGTCTAAAGTATGAATTTATTTTGTGCTATGAAAGTTGGAGTCATTGTGTCCATGTAAAACCAGGTATCTGATACTGCTAAATTTGCTTCATTTTCAATTGATTTCATTCCATTCTTAATTACCATTGTTGAAAAATATCTCAACACATAATTACCTTGCTCACATACATTTCCAAACTTCAGAAACTGTGAAAAAGTTGTTGTGTTTAAAGCATGAATTCATTTTGTTTATTTAGTGAAGGAGACTGTGTCAGTGTAATATATTTCCAGGGATCTGTTACTGTTAATTTTGCTTCATTTCCATTTCATTGTTCAATAAAAACACATCAAACATTTGTACACACAAGTACTCTGAAGTTGATGCTAAAAATATGCTTGAGTTTCTGATTGACAGTATCTATGTGGCAGGGCTCGACATTAACGCTTGTCCGCTTGTCCGGTACCAATGAAAAATAAATTCGGACAAGTGAATACTGCTGGGCACTTGTCCGATTGGACAAGTGCAATTTAATGTAAAGGGGTCTCTAAATCATAAAAAGAACGACTGTTGAAAGCTAAATCGGTAGTCTCAAGACGGAAGCTGTACATAAAATCCTAACGTCGATCCCGATATGTATCGCTATATTAATATTGTGTTCACATTCGATCGGGATCGAAAATAATTGCATACTAAAATGAAAAGTCATGGAAGATACGAACCGAAGTGTGAATATTGTTTGATGTTGACAGGTTCACTTGTGGACATTTACGTTATTGTAAGGACAGAAAGCCTAAATTAAATTTCGTTTTATGTGTCTGTTGCACCGGTATTTATCAATAACATCAAGAATCAATCAAGCGCATGACATGTGTAAATAAAATGGACTTAATTTTAATTTTCAAGTTGAAACTATTGAACTTTATTGAAAATTTTCGGACAAGTGAAGTTGACATTCGGACAAGTAAATGTCTTGGTCACTTGTCCGAATGGACAAGTAGGAAAAAAAGTTAATGTCGAGCCCTGTGTGGATTTTGGAGACCAGGTCTTCCAACAATCTTTTGGAGTTCCCATGGGTACCCATAACGCCCCGCTGTTAGCAGACCTATTTTTGTATGCATATGAAGCAGAATTTGTCCAAAATCTTAAACATGAAAAGAAGAAAAAACACTCGCCTACAACTCGACATTTACTTATATCAACAACGTATTGTTAATTAGCAATGGTAATTTCTATTCTTATGTCAATACGATATATCCCAGTTAGCTTGAGGTAAAAGATACCACAGAGTCTGACTCATCTGTTTCATATTTGGATATTCTACGTGAAAAAGACGTAAATGGTAATCTAACAACCAAGCTCTATGATAAACGTTATGACTTTCACTTTACAATCGTCAACTTCCCTTACTTATGTAACAATATACCTTCATCACCTGCATACGGAGTTTATATGTCTCAATTGATTCGATACACAAGAGCATGCTCTAGGTATAAACAATTTCTAAAACGAGGTAAATCATTAACAAAAAAGTTGATGAAATTTTAAAGTCATCATTTCGTAAGTTCTGTGGACGATACAATGACCTTGTCAGCAAATACAATTTTTCATTGAGTCAAATGCTGACGAACGGTTTATATACTTTATGTTTCCGATATTCCCGATCATGTCAAGAAGCACACGGTGGGTGTCACCGATCGGCAGGGGATGCTCACTCCTCCATGGCACCTGATCACACTTCTGATGTTTTGGAGGTCCGTGTTTGCTCTGCTCCTATTTTGTATTATGGACTTTTGATCTTGAATATACAGTTTGTTACCTTCATATGTTTCATTTTTTTCACTCAAAAGATTTTGAAGAAGGATGAAGACAACCCTTGTAGATGGATGCATTTTATTTTACAAACAAGCATGCAACGCTTCATAATGTTTTCTAACATACACATGTAGATCAGACAGATATGGTTGTAAAATTATTTTCATATATACTTCATATTTTTAATTCTATTTTGAGACAAAAAAAAATATTTAATTTTCTTTTTACAATTATTCATATGATGATTAGACTTACTATTCATTTCTGAAAATATAAACAACGCTTCATGCTCCAAAACTATTTTCCATTTGATTGTTGATGAAAATCAATGTAAGGAATTAAGAAAAAAAAGATGGTGAATACGTTAACATTCTCTTGCATATCGAATCAGCTGGAACACATTCTCAAATACAGGTGATCATGCTATAACGTTACCCAAGGAAGTGAAGTTTAGTTAATAACTACATCTGAGTTTCAAGTTCTTTTGAGCTTCAATGATTTACATGTATTTTTCTTTATTTTTCACTTTTAACTCCTAATACATGTTTATAGAGCAAAAGATTTTCTTTTGACCTTTTTTAAAAGTCAAAATATAGAGTACTACTACTTCTTTTTTTTCCTACAACCTTTACTTGTAAAACGATAAATAAGATAAGGGCCCCATGGGCCACATCGCTCACCTGAGTAAATTTAAAGATGCCGCTCTTTACCAGAATTCCCCTCCTGTAATACCTTATTGTGGCCATATCCCACCGGGTCATGATTTTAACAATTTAGAATCAACACTACCCGACAATGCTTCCACATACGTTTCAGCTTTTCTGGGCCATTGGTTCTTGGGAAGAAGATTTTTAAAGATTTTTCCTATATATTTCTATGTTAAACTTGGATTCCCTATTGTGGCCCCGCCCTACCCCCGGAGGTCATGATTTGAACAATTTATGATCTTCACTACCCCACGATGCTTCCACATGAGTTTCAGCTTTTCTGGGCCATTTGTTCTTGAAATAAGATTTTTAAAGATTTTTCCTACATATTTCATTGCAGAAATTGGATTCCCTATTGTGGCCCTGCCCTAACCCCAAGGATCATGATTTTAACAAATTTGAATCCCCACTACCCCAGGGTGCTGCCACACAAGTTTCAGTTTTTCTGGCCCAGTGGTTTTTAAGAGGAAGAATTTTTTAATGACCCCACCTTATTTTTTCTTTTCTTGATTACTAGTATTGTAATTAAGTAGACTTGGCCCTTCATTTAAACATTTTAACTCCCCATCACCCAAGAATGCTTTGTACTAAGTTTGATTAAAATTGGCTTGCTGGTTCTTGAGAAGAAGTTGAAAATTTGAACAGTAGACAGACAGACGGACGACGGACAACGGGTGATCAGGAAAGCTCACTCGAGCTTTCAGCTGAGGTGAGCTAAAACAAAGGAGTAAAGAAAAACATAATTGAAAAATTTTAGGATCTTGGAGAGAAGGGAAATTCAGTTGATTTAATGGCAGATTGGTGGTAGCTAAGACCTAGTATATAAAATCAAATATGATAAGGATTAAAGAAAAACTTGCAGAAACTTTAAATTCTCTTAATTTATCAAAAGTCAGAACCTCAAAATGTACGACTCTTTAGCTAACCTGAGCTGAAGGCTCAAGTGAGCTTTTCTGATTAAAATTTGTCCGTTGTCCTTCGTCGTCGTCGCTATAAACTATTTCACATTTTATGATCTTCTCAAGAACCACTAACTAATTTCAACTAAATTTGCCCCAAAGTATCCTTGGGTAAAGGGGATTCAAGTTTGTTCAAATGAAAAGTCACGCCTTCTTCTAAGGGGAGATGAAAAATTTATGGCATCTTTTAAATAACTTCTCAATAACCATTGTGCTAGGAAATATGAGACTTACGCGGAAGCATCCTCGTATGGAATGCCATATACGACAGCCAACTGCTTACTGCCAACTGCTGACTGCAGCTGCTTACTGCCAACTGTCAGCTGCTTACTGCCAACTGCCACACACATTTGAATAAATATTATATTTATATTGATATTTATATGAATTTTCAAAAAAAAAAAAGCGCGGATCCAGGACAATTATTTTCCAAGAGGTCACCCTGGTAAAATTAAATTGACTAAATGACCATTATGTTTTAATTTATGTAATATTCAATATACAGTGTATGCCATTGATAAAGTACATTATATTTATTTTCTTATTTGAAATAGGTAATAAAATGACTATTTTCTGCTTTTAAGCTTAAAAGAAGTAACACCCCCACCCCCACCCGGGCGGAGACAACACAAGAGAGAAAATAATAATAATAAAAAAAGATTTGTCGTTTCGCAGATAAAGATGTTTTGAAAATAAATTTATATTTTCCATTATATTCTATAGTTAAAAACTTCCTCAAATTAAAGATGTATATCTCTGTGTGTTATAATGTTTCACATGCAAATATCTTAGGGGTGGGGGGGGGCATTTAAATTTGTACAGTCATGGGTTAAACTAAACGAACTAAAACTGATCTTGGACCCTCCACGTAGAAAACGCCGATCAAACATTTATATGTCTTTGTTTTTATAAATAAGATATGTTTTACATGCATAGATCTAGAGAGAGAGGTCCGGACCACCCCTCTGAAATTTGTAAAATTATTTAATGCACAAACTAAACCAACTAAAAGTTATTCAATGTATAAAATAAATCAACTAAAAGAGACCTTAGAACCCACCCCCCCCCCCCCCTTAAAACGCGGTTTCGTGTAAAGTTGGTATAAAAAATGTCATAGACATGAAGGTGTGACGCATGAGAACCCCCTCTCCCAGGCCGAAATAAATTTTCACATTAAGGAAAGGACTTTACTTTTTTTTTCTTGTCAAGAAATTTCTGGGTTGGATTTTTTTTAGCATGAGTGACCCTCTTGGAAAAAATGTTCTAGATCCGCGCCTGTTTTTTTTTTTTTTTTTTTTTTTTTTTTTTTTTTTTTGAAAATTCACATAAATATCAATATAAAAATAAGATTTATTCAAATATATGTGGCAGTTAGCAGTAAGCAGCTGACAGTTGGCAGTAAGCAGTCAGCAGTTGGCAGTAAGCAGTTGGCTGTCGTATATGGCATTCCATATCCTCGGGTAGTGTAGATTCAGTTTTGTTCAAATCATGATGCCCGGTGGTAGGGTGGCGCCACAGTGGACAAAACAAACTTTTACAAATGAGTATGTAGGGAAATCTTAAGAAAATATTCCTTTTCAAGCACAACAAAGCCATAATTGGTCATATCTATATGGAAGCATTCTCAGGTTGTGTAGATTCAAGTTATTTCAATCTTATATTTACATTGTTTTCCTGATGACTGCAACAAATTTATGTCATTCCACTATCTTTTTTTAAAAAAGTTAATTTGCACTATTTTTTAATTCGATCACATCAGAATGGTAATATATAGTCTTACTAATCCCATGGTAGTTCATGAGAAAATGATTTTTTTTCTAATTTGTGAAGACTGTTAAGAAAAAAATATTTCAATTTCGGAAAATTTAAATATATAGTCATTAATTAAGATTCAAGTTAGAATTAAAATGACTTTTGAAATAATTGTATGAATAATGAACACATTAATTCTATACTTAGATGAGTATAATTTGCTTTATATTTATCAATGTATATATAAACAGTTTGAGGACAGCATATTTATCTATTTATTTTCAAATGCTAGCGGCACTCATTTCTCCATTCTGAGCTGGTGCGACATCTTTCTCTTCTTGGATTAACTGTAGATCGAGTTTAAAAACTAGTCTGTTTACATTATATTACATGACATGCATCACTCGTATCTCTTAAAATATCACATATTTTGTACGCATTAAGGTTTCAATGCGTAGTTTCCTTTTCATGTTTCAAAATAGGCCAGGCGAGTATAACTTAATCTCTAATTTTATTTAAGTTTGATGTTATCAATGACTTCGAGTTAACGGGTAAGCGAATTTGATTTCGTAAAAGAAACGCGTTAGTTAAAGTAAATTTAGACATATTCACTCGCTTCCGTTTTTTGCGGAATGGACTGAACAAATTGACCGATATTCAAGTAAGTACTGCAAAGTATTAAGTACGATTCTGCTTTCAGCTGAAAATATTACATGTTAATGCTGTAATATGCACTGCCGTGAATATTTTGATCCTTGACCTCTGGATCTTTCCTTAGTGATAATGCAATGAACAAGTTTTATGCGTGGTCATTAAGGATATTGTAATCCTTTGGACAAAAAATACCACAGACAACTGAAACCCAGCAATAATGTACCAGGCAGCTTTGTGCGTAATTTTTCCAGTCTTGCTGATAGATAGTTCGACAGGTACCGCAGGTAAGGGTTTTTCTTTAATATCGAGTTCTAAAACTAATAATGTGGAAAACAGTATTGAGTTTCATTTTTTAAAGGTATATTATTTAATTGTTTTTAATCAACCCGAAGGAGGGATATCTCTTTAGAAAAAAAAGCTGTGTGTTTTTATCATTTTTATATTCTTTACCTGTATAAATGTTTGGTTTGTTTGATCAAAATGTTTACAGGCCTTTAAACTTATTATTCTACTTATTATTAGCCGTTCGCTCATCGTTTTTTTTTTTTTTTTTGTCGTTCACAGTTCTGCATTCTTAATCTCCCGTGCTAAACCTTCACATTATGTAATCGTTTGCTTACCTTGCATTTACCGATCTGGATTTGAGCCTATTTAGTTACGTAATTATACCTACATAGATCGGACAGTAGGGTTGCTTTGTCTCAAATTAAAGTAAGTTGATGGATCTCCCTGATATACTAAAATTTCATAGTAATAATTTACTAAAGTAAACTATAGCTAACCATTGTAATTTTAATTCTTTGATTAACTATAGTAGATGCTTTCATTTAGTATTATAGTAATCAGTTTTAAAACTTGGAGTTAAAATTATCACAAAAACTTTCTGGTGAATTTACTGACTTTAGTACATGTATAACCTTTACAAAATTTGGATATTAAAATCAAAATTATCACAGAAACTTTCTGGTAAATTTATGATATTTGTACTTACTGACGTTTTTCATGCTAATTGTTAGTCCATTATTTATACACTGAATTGACGACGGATTTTCCGTTATTTCCCGATCATGACAAGGAGTACGGCGGGTGTGACTAGTCAGCAGGGGATGCTAACTCCTCCATGGCACCTGATCCCACCTCTGATGTTTTGGAGGCCCGTGTTTGCTCTGCTCCTAATTTGTATTCTTTTATGGATTATGAGATTGAATACTGTTCGTTATCTCCATATCCTTCATTACTAAAATTGATCGAGCTTTTTGTCCTGTCTCAAAATTGATTATCAAAAAAAGCATGAATTGAAATGAGTCATACTTTATTTCATTGTGCATTAACTGGTAAAATGAAACATCTGCAATACTATTATATATTTTATTTTCCTGATGCCATATGGCACATCAGACAGTATATGACACAATATTTACAAAATGTTCAGTAATGCATACATGCACTAATTTCAATACACTTGCTACATTGTATATATACATATATAGACATACATATAAAAAATATAAAGACACTGGGTTCAATAACATAATACTGATTGATATATTGTGTGCTGAGATCATGATATACAGGACATTTTAATAATAAAATGGAATACATCACTCAAGTCACATAACAAAGTTACATATTTCTGTTATTTTCATTAATATATATATATACCTTCTTCAACTCGTAATTTATGACGAGACAGTCTAAAGCATGTAATGTATTATTTTGTATGCTTATTTAATAGGTTTTGATAAATAATACTGTAAACAAACATGGTCTATAATATGTTGATAAAATTTTCCCTTAGAGAATATCTAAATACTGTAAAGAATTTCTTAGCTATACACATCAGAGAATCTTTAACTATAACATATTCTCTAAGAGTATTTTGACGTTTCTTCGAAAAGATACACAGCTAATCTACTAAGTCATAATATACCATATTGTTTAAGTACATAATTTCACACCTAAGACTTTCTTAAAAGTTACCATGTATTTTTTTCAACATCTTTTCATGTGTCAAAATCTGCACATTTTGATTCAATATTTAGGTAATAATTATTCACCCTTGAGTTAACTGCAAAAATACTTTCCGACCTTGATCGCGGCGATATGCTTCTGAGTAATATTGAATTTCCCATTGTAAATAGACAGAATACCTAGGCAATTCATTTACAATTTCCAGTTCTTTACCTTCAAACAAATTTTTTTTCATATATCTTTACATTACGTAACTTGATTTCTAAACACAATAATTTCTTTTCAGTGTTAAGTTTCAACTTCCATTCTTGATAGTATAAAAGTAAAGAGTCTAAAACATTTTGCAGTGCATCAGCAGATTCAGCCATAAGTATCATCGGGATACTGAAAAAGGATAAAAAATTATCAATCATACATGTACTTCGTCATTGGACATTTGCAAAAATATTTTGTTAAAATCATTTTGATTTTCTTCACAAGTACTTTGAAGCTGATATTAAAAAGATGCTCGAGTTTCTGATTGCAAATAGCGATGTAGTTTCTGACCTCATCATTTGCAAGTTCTATGGTCGAATCAATAATCTTGTCAGCAAATAAAATTTGTCTTAGAATTCGGTGAATAAAGTCTGAAACTGCCCCACGACTAGAACCATAAGCCACTATATTTGGATCGAATGCTGATTGGCATTTTCCGAATTTAAGCCATTTTTTCATCTTGAATTGTTTGAATTTTTTCTATTTTACATGACAAAGAGCACTCAGCAGATGTGAGCGGTCGACAGTGGTTTTTTACTCATTCATGGCACCCGATGAAACCTCTGATATTTTAAGATAAGATAATATTTATTTAAAGTCGGGTACATCAACAAAAACATTAAATCTGATGAGCTATTTTCCGACTATTATTTTTACGAGGGCCGTGTTTGCTCCCGATGTGCATTGTTTTAATGGTCTTTTTTGCTTAAATACGTTTATTATTCCTCATTTCATTATACTAGAGATACTCCGGTTTCTATGAGATTGAATTTGTACAGCTCACACTTCGATATAATATTTTCTATACTTATAACTTTAATTTATCGCCTGATATGGGACTTACATCTCTCAGTTGATTCGATACTCAAGAACATGCTCTATGTATGTACAATTTCTTAAACGAGGTAAATTATTAAGGTAGGATTCTTCTCACATTTCTTGTATTTAAAAATTGATGAAATTTTCACAGAATCAAGAGGACAATATTACTAAGTGATAGTATCAGTGAGATTAAATTCAACCGTTTAATATTAGAGGCAAGGTCAGGTCAAGGTCATGACCTTTTTCTTGGACATTAAGAATGAAAAATTACTGTTTCCAATCATGCGATCCCTACTTGTAATTCAAAAGATTGAATGTTTTTCTTTTTGCATAAAAAGATACTACCATATGGGGCCTTTAAGATGATATTACCAAATTGACATGGACAATTTAATTTAAATGGATATTTGCTAATCCGAATTTCCTCTACTTTTCTTATTTTTTTAGGATTTATCAGTTATCTTTATATACTTCCTATATTTAACTTTTTCCAATTTTCACATATAGTAAAGCTGTCACATAAAGGTACAAAATGATACAAAAACTAAAAGTTTTGATCGTTTAATAAGAGAGAAATAACACTTTTTACGGATTTTTGGCTCAAATCTGTACTTAGATTTGAAGCATTTAAAAGCCAACATAGTTCTAGCATGTGTGAAAAATCTAATTTATTTGATATTTTTTGAAACTTTAGTCCCTTATTATTAATTTAACTTACATTTGAAAATTTCGTCTAGTCTTTGATTGCTTAAAAATTATAACTAAATTCAATGTATTATAATAAATTTGAGAGGCAGAAAAGAAGATATTTTCATACGCCACCATTCCGCCAAAAATATAGTTCCTGCTAGTTTTCAAACACAGATCACTATTTCTATTTAAAGTTGTATAATTGTGATGAGGAAAGAAAAATATGGCCTTTTAAATCTCTTACATCTAAATATGTAAGACATATCAACAAATGTACTTTGAATATTCCATCTAGTCACAAACCAGAGAAGAATCCTACCTTAACAAACAAGTTGATAAAACAAGAAAATCAGCAGTCTCGTTCATAGCCATCATTTCGTAAGTTCTATGGCCGATACAATGACCGTATCAGCAAAGACAATTTATCTTTGAGTCAAATGTTGACTGACATTTTTCATACTAATTGTTAGACCGTTATTAACACTCTGAATTGACGACAGATTTTTTTTTCCTGACCATAACAAGGAGCACACGGCGGATGTGACCGGTGGGCAGACGATGCCTACTCCTCCACGGTACCTGATCCCACATTTGATGTTTTAGAGGTCCGTATTTGCTCTGCTCCTATTTTGTACTGTTTTATGGAATTTTGAGCTTGAACACTATGCGCTTTCCCAATATGCATGTATTTCATTAAATATGTTTATAAATTATAATAGACTATGGTGCATACCAAAATTGTCCAAATCCTTATTACAAAGTCGATTTAGACATTATATTTACTGTATATGAAGTCTAAGGATAAAAATACTGGATTGGCAACAACAAAAAAATGCTGACCACTTACTGAAGGCACAAAAACCTTGACACCATTCCGATACGATTATCATTCCATTTTAGCGTAGGATCTTTGATAACAAGTGATATAAATCAAGGAATTATAAGATGTCTTAAAAAGTATCAGTCATGAAGATATATAAATATATATCAAACAGGGAATACTCATGACGCCTCCCTTTACTATCCTTTTTGTCATTAAATTAAATATAATTTATATTTTTTCACAGTTTTTTCCCCTTGGAGTTTGACCGTTTATAATGTGTTTTGTTTGACTGACTTGTTTCATACCAATTGTTAGGTCTTTGTACGTGTATTTACACTGGAATCGACTACGGAATGTTCCGTTTACCTGGTCAATACACAGCGGGTGTGACCGAACAACATGGGAAACTTAGCCTTGTTAGTCATATGATCCCGCCCCTCGAATTTCCAGGGTTTATTGTTTTATGCCCTTTTGACATATTTGTATTTATTATTAATTGATGTTTTGAGATCGTCCCTTTATTATCTTTACCTTTTATATAGTTTATTGTAGCTTTTAAAGGATATCTTTTTGTTAGATTTAGTTTAAACAATATTGTTTCTTTTTTCTTCATAACTTTATATAAAGATGATATTCAGATATATACTTCAATTATAATTTTCAACAGAAAAATGGTATGCAAAAGACTTTATCCCGAAAGAGAGTTACTTCTTTAACGAGGGCGATTGTCACACAGATAGGGTAGGTCACAGTTTGTACTGTTTTCAAAACCATTTTATTTTGATCTGTTTGCTAGTCATTAAATTGTTATATGAATTATTTCAAATACTAACATTATTTTAACTCAATACTGTAAACAAATTATTCGTCAATTCGCGAGATATATACAATTAATTTTCAGTTTAATTATATGGTTTACATATTCAGAACATAATGTTAACTCAATACAAAATTTATTTTTTATAGGCGAAAATTAAACGTCTAAATGATGTAAGGGAGCTGATGAGAGAAAATCATATTGATGCCTACATAATTTGTAATGTAAATGAGAACCACGTGAGTAATTATTTCGCATCAATGCTGAATTTTTTCACAGATAACCTTTTTTAAAATTGAATTTTATAGTTTCCCTTATATGAATTCAGTATGAATTTATTGAAGGGTACCTTAACACCATATGACAGGAGAATAGAAGCTATATCCGGGTTCTCAGGAGGAATAGGTAACATTTCTTAGATACGATGAAGTGAATTGGATAAGTCAAAAGATTGACGTTGTGATAGTTTACATCAATCTTTCTCGTTTGTTTGTTTTTTCAGGCACTGCAGTGGTGACGCTTGATAAAGCGGCGTTATGGACAGACGGTAGAACCTTCCAGACGGCCATTGATGACGTAGACTGTGGATGGACAGTGTTCAGGAAAGGTAAAACAAAAAAAAAAAAAATCCGCAAACTCATTTTTGTTTATAGTTCTGAATACAATTATATCTTTTGTAGGTGGAACAGATACGACGTCTCTAGTGGACTGGATTTTTACGAACACAAAGGCAACCACAGGATCAGTTTCTGTTGGAGCAAGCCCCCACCTGGTGAGCGCCGGTAAGTAAGGGTTTATTTCTTCCTTTAGTCACGGAATTCCAAACATATTTTTAAAAAAATGGGTGAGCTAGATTTGAAGGAATTATAAAGCATAAAACTAGTTTAAAATTCTTCAGCGAGGTATTGTCCTATAGTAATTCTATCTTCTTGGGCCTTTTTATAAAGGTTTGAGAATACTATCATAGTTTTTATGATATAATATCATGAAATTAATTTAGTACAAAAAATTGAGTTGATTCATTTTATTTGAAGCATTGCCCAAAAAGAGTTGTCTCTTAATTAGTATAATCAAGCTATATCATATATACGTACGTTGCATTCACTGATTGATACTAAGAATATTAAAATTTACAGATAATTAAAAACACTGACAGGATATTTTCTTTCCCAGAATACTTAAAAGGGAATTTTTACAAATTTTAACAATGTAGACTTCTGGAAATCTAGAAGGAACTTTCTTTTTCGTAAGAGATGCAGTGTCTTTAAGGTTGATCAACTAACATTTAATTTTTTTTAAGTTGCTCATTTTTGGGCCTTTGTGGGATCCAATTAAAAATGATTAAATTAACGAGCTGGTTTACTTGAGCAACAACTTTACTTAGTGAAATTTATCTCCTCCATTTTTAATTGTAGTGTGGTGGACAAATTTTAATTGTAGTTTGGTGGACAAATTTTGAGAAGGTATTTGCAGAGAAAAGAATAAATTTTGTTCCAGTGTATCCGGATTTTATAGATGTAGTATGGACAGCTGATAGACCACCACTACCTTCTTCGCCCATTCACATTCTACCTCTGAAATTTACAGGTAACTTGACGTCAGAGACTGATGAGTTTTATATAAAAACTGAAATTCCTAAATTTATTTACCTTGTCGTTGGTTGTAAGAAAAATTACAAAAAATATAATTTTGTTTAAGACAGTAGTATTCTGCACATAAGTACTCCGAGACAGATAAATTTTACAAGCATTAGAATATACGACTTGTAAAAAATTCATAAAAAACCATACCCCACGATTAATTTAAGACTTTGTTTTCAACTGAACCTATTGATATTACTCATAAGAGGTTTTATGAAACTTGAGAATCTGAGTTGAAACTCGGCTTTGTTTTTCACGCTTCGCTGCACCACTGGTATGGCTTGTGTATGTGACCAGTCCGGTGTGTTCTATATATAAACATTGTGGTTGGTAAACTGTGACTGTGTTTTGTTTACATGGATAACGAGTCGAACACTAAGTCTGAGAAGTGTGATAACAAACGTAGACGATCAGACATGAGTTCATTAGGCACAGATTCAGAACTATCCCCTAAACGATTGAATGATCAGAATTCAAGTCCAATAGCACCTTCAAATAGTGCAAATAGTGCAAATAATGAAGTTCAAGGTGTCCCTAAACATAATGTCAATAAAGATAAGAGGGAAGAGCTAGTGCACACTCCAGGAAGAGGGTCAAATAATCAACAGAATGGTCAAGGTATGCCCCAATATACTCCTACACGTGCATCTGTCCCTGCCCAACAGCGTCAAGGTATGCCACAATATCCATCCTATCCCTCTTCACCACCGGGCTTTCCCATGGGTGCATTTCCTGCATCTCCGCCCATAGATTACCAGATAATGAGTCAAGCTCCACCCTGGGCACAGGTAATGATGAGACAAGTCAGTGACATCAAGATGAGAATGCAGAAACTAGATCAAATTGAACACGCAGTATTTGACACTCGAAATGCTCTAAAACATATGGAAAAATCTGTACTTGATCTTACAGACAGAGTCGGTGTATTAGAAAATAAATCCAAAAAGGTTGAGGATTGTTATTCTTCTCAAAAATCACTAGAGAAATCAATGACCAAAATAAAAAATAATGCATCAAACCAATCAGAAATAATAACAAACCTACAAAACGAATTTGAGAAACTAAAATCCGAGAACGATAAATTAGCATGCGACAATGCCAAAATTCAAGATGAACTTTTGAACATGAAATGTAATGCCATGGAGGATAATTTGCTTTTCTTCAACATCCAAGAAACTGAAGTCGAAAACTGCCGACTACTTATCCAAAATATTTGTAAAAACAATCTGGGAGTTGGAGATGTTGGAATGATGCAGTTTCTAAGCGTCCACCGAGTTGGGAAGCCCAGTGAATCAAGACCCCGTCCAATTCTTGTAAAATTCAAGAACTTCCACGATAGAGAGGTCATTCGAAAATCCAGCTACAAGCTTAAGGATACCAATTACAGCATAGGGGAGCAACTGCCACGGGAGTATCGCGATCGACGTAAACGTCTTCTTCCACAGTACAAGCAGGCCAAAGAAAACAATCGGAAAGCTCACTTTGTTAAAGACAAATTGATCATTGATGGGAAATTAGTAGCCCCGTGTGATACCGGCGTTGACGACGACGAATAGGGGTCACAGGGGGGTGATATCAAATGCAGAACATGGAATGTAAATGGCGGACTGGAAAATAAACTATGTGACAAAAAATTTCATTCTTGCCTATTTGATTACGATATTTGTATACTTCTTGAATGCTGGATAACGGAGCACTCCAATATATCCCTTAGTGGTTATAGTGTTCATGCATACCATAGGAAAAAACGTGTCAGAAATCGCACACAGGGTGAAGGAATAGTTGTTCTAGTTAAGGACTCGCTTGATCAATATATTAAAATAGATGAAATATTTTATGACACTATTGTTTGGATAAAAATAGATAAAGTCATTTGTTGGGACAAGAAAGATTTGTACATTGGGGCAGTTTATATACCACCCATTGATTCAAAATTTCATGATATTTACAATTGTGATTTGTTTACTACGCTTGACGAATGTATTACAAAATATACAGAAATGGGCAATGTTATAATTACTGGCGATTTCAATGCAAGAACCGGATCATTAAAAGATTATATTGAAAGCGATACCCTACACTCTGAAATTAATGATCATATCTCAGAAGTGATTACTTATATACCTGATATTGAACTTAATCCAAGATCAACAATGGATAATAAAATAAACACATTTGGTAGAAGGCTTATTAGCATATGTAAATCTTCAAATATTCGCATAGTTAACGGACGACATCTGTCCGATTCAAACGGAAACTATACCTATTGTGGTCCAAATGGGCGATCTGTCGTTGATCTAGTTTTAACAAATTCATTCAACAATATATCGAATTTCAAGGTTTGTAACTTAACTGAATTCTCAGATCATGCGCCAATCAATTTTTCATTTCCATGCATCTTAGGGTTTCATAAACAGAAAAACAATTCTAGAATTTCGAACCGTCCAACTTCCCAAAATTCTACCACAGTGAGATGGCAAGAACAATCCCAAATTCAAATGAGACGGGATCTTATAAACAACTTAGACGCTCTATATTCTTGTGTTGAAGATGACTTCGATGTCAACCAAATTGTCGATAACTTCAGTGAAAAATTAAGCAGTGTATTAGGGAAGTATTGTACAAAGAGTAGCAATTACGCGTGTCCAAAAGACGGAATTACAGAGGATAAACCGTGGTTCAACCACAAATGCAAGGTCTTATACAATCAATATTTATCTGCTTTAGAAGAATATAATAAGTTTCATAGTAAAATAAATTACAATAAGCTTACAAAAACAAAAGGTGAATACAAAAAGCTTCAAAAGAAACTTAAAAATCAATACAAAAGACAACAAGGTGATATGGTGCAACAACTGAAGAAAAATAACCCTAAAGAATTCTTTAAACATTTTAGCAAACGAAAGGCATCAAACTCAAAAGTTACCTTATCAGAATTTTTTGAACACTTTCGGAACCTTGCTAATGATTCAGCGACTACGTACATTTCGATTGCAAATTATATGGACATCAATAGCCCTGTATTTGAGCTCTTGGACACTGAAATTACTTCAAAAGAGGTTGAAACCTGCATACGCAGACTTAAAACAAACAAAAGCGCGGGAAATGATAATTTAATCAACGAATACTTTTCCGAGTTTAGTGACATAATTCTCCCTATTTTGAGGACCCTTTTTAACAAAATATTCAATTCCGGTATATTTCCTTCTTCGTGGTCGAAAGCAATTATTATTCCAATATATAAAAAAGGAAAAACTGATGACCCTGGAAACTACAGAGGCATCAGCATCACAAGCAGTCTGGGAAAACTTTTTACTTCAATCCTTAACGAAAGAATAATGAAATGGAACATCTCAGAAAATATTATAACTGATGCACAATTTGGATTTCAGGCTGGGCGTTCAACTACTGACGCGATATTTGCGCTTCAAAATTTAATATCACAAAAGTTGAATAATAAACAACGTTTATATTGCTGTTTCATTGACTATAAAAAGGCATTTGATACAATCAACCGGGAAAAATTATGGTATAAATTGATCAAATTGGGAATCACCGGAAAATTCCTTCGAATTATACGATCGCTTTATGTTGATGTACGCGCCTGTGTCAAAAATGCAGGAGAGATATCCGAGGAATTCTCTGTAAATACCGGGTTGTTGCAGGGAGAAGTATTATCACCGATATTATTCAATATGTACGTTAACGACTTGGAAAATCATTTCATAAACGATAAATGTCCATCCGTAGAATTAAAGGAATTAAATCTTTTTGTTTTGATGTTCGCAGATGACACAGTAATATTCGCTAACTCACCAGAAGAGTTACAGAACTTGCTTGATGCTTTACAGGGATACGTATCATCGTGGAATTTGACCGTAAACACCGCAAAAACCAAAATTTTAGTATTTAGGAAAGGGGGGTGCGTTAATTTTTCATGGACGTATAATAATGAAGTTTTAGAAATTGTCAATTCTTTTAATTACCTTGGATTATGTTTAAACTACAACGGTAAATTTAATGTTACGCAAAAAAAGTTAGCTGAACAAGGTCAAAAAGCTCTATTTGGTTTAAACCGTAATATTCAGAAATTTGAATTTAACACCGAAACCCGCTGTCAGCTATTTGATACATATATTGGCAGCATTTTATCGTATGGTAGTGAAATCTGGGGTTTTCATAAATCTCCAGAAATTGAAAGACTGCATTTATCCTTTTGTAAAAATACTCTTGGTGTTAAGCGCAATGCATGTACTTATATGATTTATAGAGAATTGGGACGATATCCACTTATTATTCAAAGAAAACTAAGAATCATGAAGTTCTGGTGTAAATTATTAAAAACAGAAAACTGCATTTTAAAAGCTTCATACGAGTACCTGCGACATGATGCAGAGAATGGGCCGGGAACAAGCACAAATATAAATTGGGCGCGTGACGTAAAGCTTGAATTATTTAGGTTGGGTCTGGGAGAATTTTGGATGAATCAACAAGTAATAAACTCTGCTAATTTTATGCATATATATACTGAAAGGAAAAAGAAACGCAGGGTGGCATAATTTTCGATAAAAATTTGACTACTGGACCGAAAATTACGAAAATTGGCCAGAAGGGAAATTTAGTTACTGTGCGTCAAAATCAGTATTCAGAACTACTCAACCGTAAAATTTATGACGTCACGTAGGGAAAACGCTAAAAAGCCCAAAACACGTGCAGTTTGATAACGACGAGTTTGTTAACAAATCTTGTTGCATTATTTGATGCATATGAGGTATGCACATCGTTTTTCAATATTAAGTCACATTATGACGTTATTGCAATCTTGGCACAGTTTACGGATGTTCAATGGGGTCTTGTTTTCGAATTGCCTAATTAATGAAAAAGGCAACAGCGGTTTACTAAGCAGTCTCTTATAAATTTTCCCCCATAAAACTTTTTACCCGTTGTCAGAGAGGGTCTGGAATGGTTTTCAATCAACCGTGACGATGACGATAACGCAAAACAGAGCCATGTTACGAGTGAGTTATTCGTCCTGCCATCTCTTAAATCGACACCTTTCTACCACAAAAACAGCCATTTATAGAGTAGACGATTATAATCATTACATTCATACGAAATTTGAAAGAAAACAATTCCGCAATTTGGTTTTTTTGAGCCAGTCAACTTACGGTTGTATTCCTCTTACTGGCGCATGCGCGCGCCACTTGACTTATTTTTTGCGTGGTTACCCATGCTAAATATAGCCAGGGTTTGAAAGATAAACACTCTTATGAAATTCCATGCAAAGGAGAAAAAAGACTCTGACAAATGCACGAGATAGACATTGAAGATAATGAGAGTTTTCGATTTTCACTTTTGGGGGGTATCGTCATTTGAGCTTCAATAACTCATGAATAATTAGACATAATCAGATGAGAACTTGGTTATATCTTTTTGAAAGATGATTTTAAAAGGTAGATAGGAAAACTAAAAAGTATTTTAAGAAAAACAAATTTAATTCACCTCAAAAGTTTACCCTGCGTTTCTTTTTCCTTTCAGTATATAAAAACAGACTACTAGATATACACCTCCAAGAATGCAATGCATTTATGGATAATTCGTCAAAATGTTTTTTATATAAGCACATTGTCCAACCCGATTTCTGTAAAATGCAACCTTATTTAACAAAACCGTTACAAAGTAATTTAAAAAAGCATATTTCTCGCATCAGACTTTCATCGCACTATTTAAACATAGAATGCGGAAGGTACCAAGGCAAGAACAGAAATGATAGAATATGCGATGTTTGTGATAGTCATCAAATAGAAGATGAATTTCATTTCATTCTCCAATGTCCTAGATACCTAAATCTAAGAAAGAAATATATAAATGAATATTATTACAAATCGCCAAGTACATTTAAATTAATCCAGTTATTAGGTACAAACCGCATATCTACCTTGGTTGGTCTAGGGAAATATATTCAACATGCTCTAATATTACGTAATGAATATTTATCAGGTTGACATATACATGTAAGTTCTCTATATTTTTGTCTGTATATCAAAATAGCATTGTTGTATATTGTACTCTAACTTTGAATAATTCTGTACTGCTAATTTCAAAATCATTATAATTGTATTTTATAAATGATAATTGGAACTGTGGGACTGAGGAACACTTGACCTGGGGTTTCACCCCCCAGTTTAGACTCTTTGAGAGTCGATTGTATTATATGTTGTATACATGTACATTTGTCATTTTGTAAACTGATGGGCTGTATTGCCCAAAGTTGTATCCTGAAATAAACTTAACTATTAAGTCCTGGGGGTCGTAACATAAAGGCTACTTAAGTCTAAGACTGTGCTTAAGTAGGACTTAAGTACAGTCTAAAACTTAAGACCGTAACTTGAAGCGTACTAAGATTTGGCAATCTTAGCAAAACTTAGGCGGCCGGTAGAGGTGACTTAAGTATACCTTACCTTTTTTTATACATGTATTTAGACTTATTTACTATTGACTTTCGATGTTAAAACATTCCTCTATTCATATTATGCATTAAAGAACACAATTATCTCTATTGGACGCTGATTTAAGAATTTTATTTTTTTCGGGGGGGGGGGGGGGGGGGGTCAGTGATTCCAATATCACTTCCAACACAGCATACATGTAAATACAAAGTTTAATTTTTGGGGTACCTCTGAAAATAGTCTACAGTGTATTAGTGGGACTTGGTTATAGAAATAAATTGAACACAGTAATAAACCATGGATCTGTATGTTCACTTTGAAAATATCAGTTGAAATAATTTGTTAGCAACAGAAAAGAAAGAGGATGATGACTAAAACAGTAATAAAAAAGTATCTTTAAAGTAGAATAAATGAATAATTAAAAGACAGGGTTCACTAAGTTCGAGAGAGATAGAGAGAGAGAGAGATAATTAGCTGATAAGTGGAGACATAGAAAAAAAATCCCGATTTTTAGTATCCTCGATTAAATTACAAATGAGTATATCATAAAACTTCCACAGTTTTTGCTTCTGACATGCATGGCCTGATATACATAGAGGGGATTCAAAATGTATTGATTTTTTTTGAATTTCAATTTCAAGTGGAAAGGCGGCCGATTATCTTTTCTTGCCTGCGATAATAACAGGGTAAGTGAACATTTGTCAAAACAAGAGTTACAAAAGGTACACTGAAAACATCTCAGGTGATAAAACAATTGTCATGAACATTTACAATTAACCACAAATCGCTACTTTCTGACCGTGCTGTATTTGATTTCAAACATTCCGAATAATTTATAAAACAATTATTATTTTAATACGAAATCTAATCTAACATACTTAAACCGATAGGTAAGGACGTCAACCTTAACATGTAATTAATTAAAACCCTAACTGAATCACTTTTAGCAATATATCTATATAAAATAAAAAATCATAGATTGACTCATGTGAAATATTTTAACATAAGTTTGACTTAGCTAAGACCTCGCTAAGTTCGCTTTATGTTACGGTTAAAGACATACTTAAGTAGTACTTAGACAGGTCCTAAGATTATGCCTAAAACGTACTTAGGACCCTACTTAAGTCGAAAACTTAGCAAGCTTTATGTTACGAGCCCCTGGTTTCTATTTGACATCATAAACAACAACTTTTTCAATAGAAAATAGAATTTATGTATTTACTTACCTTGTCATTAATCAACTGCAAAACATTTTAATTGCGTGCATAAGTTCCCCAAAGTTCACAAGGGATGCTTGCTTCTCCCACCTGATTCCACCTCTGATGTTTTTAGACATTTTTTTGTTTTTATTCTTATATATTGTGCTTTTCATTTACTAAATATGATCCATACTTTTTCTTCTTGCAGGCGAAACTTGGCAAAGTAAAATTAAAAGGACGATAAATGTTATGGAAGAACGGAATGCTGATGTTTTAGTACTGACTAATTTAGATGAAATAGCATGTAAGTATTAAACCTTACAGTTTATAGTCGAAAATGAAACTCTTTCAATTGCGTATAGTGAGGCAAAAATGTGAGTCATATTCAAGAAGCTCACTGCAGAATACCATCGACATTGTTTTGCACTTCTTTTGAAATTCGTAAATATTCATGCTATCTTAATTTTTTCTTCTTAAACAATTAAATTCATTTTAAAGCATTACGTCATAAAAACATAAACATAAAAGTGCTTTCTTGAATAAATAAGGAAGCATTTATATATAAATTTGTAAAGTAAAATTAGCATTACAGGGGATTGTTCAATAGAGGGTCCTTACTCCTCATAGACACAAACTTCAAGACCATAAACTGAAAATAAAGTCAGGACAAAATTTCAAATCAGTGTAATTTTTTTTAAAAATAAATTCAAAATGAAACAAAATTTCCAAGTAATGTTTGTATTAAAATATTTAACAAACTTGAAAACTTTAAGGCATGTTCATTAAATAATAATTAAAATATTCAAACTCAAAATTTTGACTTAAGTCTATTCTCAGTTTATGGTCATTTGGCCTGATCCTACATCTGTACATCTGGAATTCCCAGGGTTCCGTGTTTTATGACATTTTCACAGATTTGGTTTAATGTTTATAGATTTTTTTAGACTGATTGCAGTTCGTTATCTTCACCTTTCTCATCATGAAAATTTATTAACTTAACAATACAATACACACTCTTGTCATCGGCCATTTGCAAAATTATTTTGTTAACAAAATTCTGATTGTACACACAAGTACTCCAAACTTGATGTTAAAAAGATGCTTAAGTTTTTGATTGAGAGTATCTATGTGGTTTTTAAAGACCACGTCTTCTAACAATCAACTGGAATTCCGATTGGTACCAATTGCACCCCGTTATTATAGCAGACCTATTTTTGTATTCATATGAAGCAGATTTTGTTTGAAATATTTTACATGAAAAGAAGACAACACTTGCTTTGGCCTTCGACTCGATATTTAGATACATGTACATTGTATATCAACGACGTATTGTCAATTAATAGTTATTTCTAAGGCAGGGAATGCTCACTCCTCCATGGCACCTGATCTCACCTCTGATGTTTCGGAGGTCCGTGTTTGCTCTTCTCCTATTTTGTATTGTTTTATGGACTTTATATTGAATACTGTTCGTTATCTCCATATCCTGCTTCTATACTTATGTTGATACAATATATCCCTGTGAGCTTGAAATAAAAGATATCACGGAGTCTGACACATCTTTTTCATATTTGGATATTTTACTAGAAAAAGACGTTAATGGCAATCTAAATTCCAAACTTTATGATAAAAGTGATGACTTTAATCAATCGTCAGCTTCCCTAACTTAAGCAGCAATATACCTTGAAATTCACCTGCATACGGATTATGGGGTTTATATCACTCAGATGATTCGATACGCATGAGTTTGCTCTACGTATGAACAATTTCTAAAACCAGTAAAGTTATTGACGAACATGTTGATGAAACAAGAATATCAGTAGTCTCGTTGAAATTCATCATTTCATAACTTTTATGGCCGATACAATGATCTTGTCAGCAAATATAACCTATCATGAAGTCAAATATTGACTGACGTTTTTCATACTAGTTTTTCGGCCATTACTTACAAACTGAATTGTCGACGAATTTTCCCCTTACTAGTATTTCCCGATCTTGAGAAGGAGCACACCGCGGGTGAGACCGGTCGGCAGGGGTTGCTCACTCCACCATGGCACCTATGATGTTTATAAGAGGTCCGTGTTTGCTCTGCTCAAAATTTGTATTGTTTAATGGACTTTTGATCTTGAATACTGTTCGTTATCTCCATATATTTCATTTTATCCTGCAACTAGCCAACTACCCCTTGCATTGACCTAATAAAGGTAATCTAATAATCCAAAGCTTTATCCGGTCACTGCCCTAATAAAGCCTCGTGCATTTATTCCGACGTTCTAAAAGCATTGTGACGTCACGTATATTGCAATGTTTACGCCATGGCGTCATAGTTTCAACTGCAGAGACGTGCCTAAATCTGTCGAAAATGGCTAGTTTTGGACGTTCAAAGGTAAATATATTGCAGGATAAACAAAATACATGATAACTGTCTTGAAATATAAGCGATATTTGGGCTCGGGTCGAAAACGTAAGAGGGCTCGGCAGGCCTCGCCCTCTATCACGTTTTCTTACCCTCGCCCAAATATCGCTTATATTTCAAGACAGTAACCATGTATTTTATATATAATGTCAACAAAATTTAATACAATAATTGAATTTCATGTTTATTTTAATAAAACCAATGTTAATAAACATTTAAGCTTGATGCAAACGTTACTTCCATTTGAATATGACAGGCTTGTAGCAACGAATTTAAAAGTCATGTAGTCCCCTCCCCCTCCCTTGTGTTCTACGGGTCTGCTAGGATATTTGCTCACCGGACGTATACGTGATAAAGGTTTTTGAACTGGTCGTTAATATGGGGTTTTGTGACGTCACCCGTATTGCACAGCGCGGAACGGAAGTGTTTACTATCAAGTATATAATGTATTTATATAGCAACACATTTCTTTGGATTTAACACGCAAAAATATTGATTGTATCCCTTTATGCCCCAAAAAACTATCAAAGAGCCCTATAGTTTATAAAATTACACGTATCTTTAACTGTATTACGTTTTAGGTTTTGTGTCAGGTTCTACGCTAAATGTATGAGTTTTACACGATTTTTTCCCGATTTCAGCGAAAACGATTTCAAAAATGCAAATAGTTATTAAACAATTCTTTCAACATGGATCATACACTGTATTACGTAACTGCAACTTTAAACAGCAGCTGTACTTTAGAAAACTTGCCAATTCATTTTATATAGAAAAAAAAAATTCTTGAGATATGATAACAAAAAACAAAAGCTTAATTAATGTTAAAAAAACTTTCAAATTTCAATGCACCTTAATTATTAATAAAGGCAAAAATTTCGATATTTTAAATATATTTTTTCCCGAATTCTTCCGGTTCGTAAGGCAAACTAGTCAGTAGCTTGCAGCTTTGAGTAAGTGATTTGAAATGATCTATATAGAAAGCGTTATTTGTCAGTAGGTGTATAGTGTACTGCCAGAACTAAGCGCAAAAGGAAACTAGTAACACAACAAAGCCTGAAAGGGCCGGTACACACGGTAAGCCGCTTGCCTTATAAGTCTAAAACCTTACATTTTGCAGGCTCTCATGTCCACACGCTAAGGCAAGACTTACAATATTATAAACAACATTCACATTAATTCCATGTGTTTTAGCTATAAACATTGCACAATATTTACCAGAATAATAGATTACTATAGTTATAGGACTTTGAAATAATTTTACCGACCATTGCGCACACTTCTTAACAAAGAGGGGGAGAGTAACATAAGCTTTTGCGGATATTTTCATTATCTTATTCGAATATATACACTTTGTGTACCTTTCAATATACCCAAGTGTATGGTTTTATAAGAATAGATTAAACTTTGGGTGAAAGGTTTTCATTGGTTAAGAAATAAATGTCAGCTAAATCTTGTATTAAGAAATAGAGCAGTGTTCTATTCCTAAGTCAGAATTATAAGGCTCGAAAAAACGTACACACGGTACGGCTAGAACTTAAGTTCCATGACTTATAAGGCAAGTCTTACCGTGTATACCGGCCTTAAGTGTGTTTGTCATAATTTAAGCAATGTGAATCCGAACAAAGAGAGCGCGAAACAAAGAGGACAATACATCTGCCATAGCAGACAATGGTACATGTAGCGATGAGTCAGTTTAAAAGGGAAAAAATTGACAAAACTTTAAAAAAAAAAATCAGGGATCACTCTTCTGGCGCCAAGCATGTCGTGCCTTCGATTCACGGACCATTCTGTCGCCTTTGTTGTCGAAACTGCGGCAGGTGGGGAGGTTAGGAAGTTTGGGTATTTTGTTTGTGGCTTCATACAACATTAGCGCCATTCCATTCATCATGTGACTGTCGATGTGACAGTGCATAAACCACACCCCAGGGTTGTCGGCGATGATTCGGATCACAGCATACCCACCCATCGGAACCAACAAGGTGTCCTTTCGGACTGGGTTGATTAGGTTAATACCTGGTGTAAGTTTGTAGTCATTCCATGACTCGTCTCTCCATTGAGCATTATTGCAATTGCTTTCATCATTCGGCAGAGTTTTGCTACACTGGATATCTTCATTTGGTATTAGAATATCTGTTCCACTTGAATCATTTTGTACTTTCGGAAAGGCCATCTTCAAAACCTCAAATGTATGGCCATGCATATGGATTGGATGGTTAAAAATACTCCCTTTTCCGAGATTGAGGAATACCATAATTATTTCCTTGTCATAGGACAAATCTATAGTGTGAGTGCAGGAGCACGGATTCTCATCGCCACATCCTTCACATTTTCTATCCACGGCTTCTGGTTCTAACAAAGCTGCTATTGTTGGCGGAATAAATTTGCGTCCATTAATTGAGGGACCACCTACGAACGCAAAATTTAGAAAAAACGTCTCAGAGTCTCTCATTTCCCCAACATTTGGTTCTTTAAATGTAGATTTTAGTTCAGAGACTGGCACGCAAATCTTTTCTGGAGAATTTGGATAGATCTGAAATGGACAATTTAGCACTGTTCTGGTATTCTTTCTTCTATTTTCACAGCATTTTGCGTACTGCGACTCGATTTCCCATTGTCCTTTCTTTCGTGACGAAATATGTGATGTATCTTTTAGACGACGTCCAGAAGATCCCAAACTGTTGCTTGGGCTCAATCCTGTTACTCTCAAAATGGCTAACCCTTTTATATTTTGGCTTTCTTTTAAGTCAGAACCAGTCAGAATTTTCGCGATAATCTTATAATTGTTTTGACAAGCGGTTAGCAGATCAAGTTCGAAATCATACCGTTCACCCGGAAGAATAACGATTTGGTCTACGACTTTTTGTTCAACTGGAAAACCATCAGTTTCTTTG